AGGTTGGAGATGGGTCGGTAGCTTGATAGCTGCGATGCATCAAGGGAGGGTTTTTTCAAGGTGGGAGTGATGGTGGCAGTTTTTAAGGGAATGGGAATGGAGCCAGAGGAGAGGGACAGGTTGACGATGTCTGTGATATGTGGGGCAAGGAGGTGGAGCTGGGAGATAAGGAGTGGAGTGGAGATGGGGTCAAGGGAGCAGGTGGTGGGTTTCAGGGATAGGATGAGTTTGGTGACAGAGGATGGGGAAACGGGTACAAAAGTGTGTAGGGGAGGATGGGTAGGAGTTGGAGTGTGGGAGGGAGGGGGTGGGGGTGGGTGGATGTTGGAGGGGAAGTGACCGTGAAGCGAATTCCCTTGATTTTGGATTCAAGGAAATCCAGCATCTCCTCGCAGTGAAGGTTGGAGGAGATGACCTGTGCGGGGTGGCGGGGGGGATGTAGGAGTCGGGATGTGGTAGAAAACAGTAGCCTGGGGTTGTTCTTCGACTCCCCCTTGGTGACATCATTAAACAGGATACTCTCCCTTGCTTGGTGGGTAGTGGATTTGGGAGTAAACAGTTCAGAGAGGTAGGTAGGTGCCAGGGCATGAAGGGATTTGAAGACGAGTGAGAGGATCTTGAAATCAATAATGAAAAAACGATCTTGAAAAAGAATAGCTTTGTGCACATTTACTTCAAAGTGTATGAACAAATTCGAAGCATCTGTGTGTAAAATAATAACCTTGCTAATTTATCATGACAGCACGTTTAATTACCCATGATAAAGATTAATACCTTTAGCCAAAGTTCAGATCCCAAAGAGATGAAAGTTACAGAGGTTTACTGCAACATCTCAGCCAATCTGCAGCAAAAAATGGATACACTTAAGCAATCTCAAGCACTTATTCTTAAGAAGATTTTGTAAGCTAGGTCATCACGGTAGTTTGTCCTTGACATTGACGTAAGCTTACTTTGTCTGAAAGGCCTCAGACCTCTGGGCTCATCACTCACTATAACTATATGCCACAGGTCACTTTGCTCTCGTTCCTCAGTATATAAGTCTCAAAGTCAATGGGCTTAAAATGGCATGCCTCTACAGACAGTAATCTCCAAATATGAAGAGTTCAGAGGCATTTCAGAAAACCTTCTTTTTGTGTTTTCATCAATAGCTTACCGGGGCTGAAAATCACAGACTTGGGGGTTGAAATTCCATTACATGAACATAGATGACATAAAAGGGTCTGGAGATCACTGCAATATTATTAGTTGTACTGCAACTGGCACTGGGTTCAGAGTGTAAAACAATGGAAGCTTCCCAATGTGATAGCTCACCCATGTCTATCAGACATCATTTCCAGATCAAAGTGCCAATTCAACAAGAAGCTTTCACAATAACTTGCATTGATACCGCATCTGCCACAAACCCACCCTGCAACCCACCCCCACCCCCCTTCCCATACACACACAGTCATTACACTTTATAGTGAATCCTGTGAAGCACTTTAAATTCTGCTACCTTTCCTGGCAACCTGTTTCAGTCAATGATTAACTTCTGTGTAAAGATAAAACTTCCGGGTATCTGTCTTAAATTTGTCCTTCACAACTCTAAACCTATGTCCTCTTGTTCTATGTTCTTGTGGGTTTACAAATGTGTTTGGTGTGGATCAAAAATGAGGTGATGTAAGGGTGGGGTGGTTGTAGAGGTTATATGAGTCTAAGTATTCTCTGGAACTTCATACTGGAGTCCTTCCAACTCTCTCCCTCGCATAGTCCATCTCAATACCTAACAGTTTGACTGCACTTTTGGTCATAGAAACAAAGAAATATAGCAACATCAAGGATGTCAGGATCAGGGAGGGTGGAGGGCAGGGGGAGATGGAGGGTGATCAAAGGCATGGTCGAAGAGGAGAGGCTTTTAAGGAGGTAAGGGAGGGAGCGAGGCAGAGGGACTGTGGAATGGAGTTCCAGAGGGTGGGGGCAGAGTGGCTAAAGTCCAGCCCAACAATAGTACGGTGGGCGAGGCAGCAGATGTGAAGCAGGCCGAAGCCCACTGAGCGGAGGGAATAGGCAGGTTGGTAGGGGATTAGGAGGTTGCAGAGGTAGGGGGAGTGAGACCATGGAGGAGTTTCAAGGCGAGGACCAGGATCTTGAACTGCATCCTCTGTGTGATGGGAAGCCAGTGAAGTCGGGCGAGAATGGAGGTGGTAGGGTTACGGAGCCTGGTGCAGGAGAGGACACTGGCTGCAGAGTTCCGGATGATATACAGCCTGTGGAGGGAGGAGTTGGGGAAGCTGACAAGCAAGGAGTTTGCATAGTCAAGCCTGAATGTTATGAATGCATCTATGTGCGTCTCAGCGGCCTGTCGTGTGACACGGCGGCGGAATCGGGCGATGTTGCACATGTGGCAATAGGCAGAGCGAGTCATGGCATGGATATAGGGGTAGAAAGTATAGTTGAGGGTCAAACAAGACACCAAGGTTTCGCACTGACTCAGTGAGGTGGAGTGTGCATCCTTGGATGGTGATGCTGTCAGCATCTGAGGTGTGGAGGCACTGATGGGTGGCAATCAGGAGAGCCTTGGTCTTGTTACCATTCAAAAGTTAGCTCTCATCCAGGGCTTCATGTCTGAGAGACATTCCGTCAGGAGAGCAGTGGTCCTGGAGTCGAAGGTGGAGGCAGAGAGATAGAGTTGGATGTCATCCACATACATCCGATGACCCCATGTCTGCGGCAATGTCACCAAGACGCAGCATATAGATATTGAAGAGAAGGGGACCAAAAACAGAGCCCTGAGGAACGCCACACTAGATGGTGCGGGAGTTAGAGGAGAAACCGTTTGTGGAGATGAAGTGGACAAAGTGGGACAGGTAGGATCTGATCCATTCAAGGACAGAATTATGAATGTTGTGGTGGGAGGAGAGGCAGTGGAGGAGGATAGAGTGGTCAACAATATCAACAGCAGCAGAGAGATCAAGGAGGACAAGGAGGCAGAGGGAGGCCTGGTCGTAGATGGCCAAAATGTCATTTCTCACTTTGACCAAAGCTGTTTCTATGCTGTGGGTGGCACAGAAACCTGATTGGAGGGGTTTATGAAGGGAGTGGTGGGAGAGGAAGAAGTGAAGCTGGGAAGCAACGACTTATTCCAGAACCTTGGAAAGGAAAGGTAGGTTAGAGATGGGGCAATAATTTGAGAACAGGGATGGGTCCAGGAAGGTTTTTTCTAAGGATAGGAGTGATGTTGGCCATTTTAAAGAGGGTGAGAACAATGCCAGTGGATAGGGAGAACTTTATGATGTCTATGAATAGGGGACAAAGAGGTGGAGCTGGGAGGTAAGGATAGGGGTAGGGATGGATTTGATGGAACAGGTGGTGGGCTTCATGTGGTTTATGTTGGTGAAAGAGGAGGGGAAGACAGGTTTGAAGGTGTTGAGGGAAAGATGGGTAGGGGCTGGAGTGTGAGGGGGAGATGGGGAGGGCTTAGTGATCGGAATGGCAGAGGCAGCTGAGTGGATCCCCTTGACTTTGGTTTTGAGGACGTCCAGCATCACCTCACAGTTGGCATTGGAGGAGAGGATGGGTGAGGTGTGAGAGGGTGAGCGGAGGAGCCAGTTGGTGATGGAGAAGAGAAGCCTGTGGTTGTCCTTGGCCTCCAAGATTGTCTTGGAGTGGAAGGATGATTTAGCTGACGTGAGGGCAGAACAGTAAGTGTTGATAGAAACATAGAAACATACTAACAGTTGTAGGCTTTTCAACCCCTCGAGCCTGTTCCGACATTTTATGAGATCATGGCTGATCTGTACCTCAAGTACAATTAAAGGCCCTTGCCCCATATCCCTTAATACCCTGACCTAACAAATATCTATCTACCTCTGTCTTGAAAAAGTGACAGCTTTCCCCTCTCCACATTCCTCGGCTTTCACCCCCAGCTCAGGACCATTACATACCCTGGGAGGTTCTCCTGACATGAAAAACGCTCTACAAATGTAAATTTGTATTATATTTTAAGCACTCACTGATGATATATATAATATATATATACCTTAATTCTTGTCCTTAATACCTCTCATCTTTAATACCAGAGGGTTTCAATTTCATTCACAAGTCAACCTTTTTTTATATAAACAATCATATTAATTTAAAAAATATATATCACTTTCCTCATGAAAAACCACACCCGTGACAGAAAAAAACACAGAAAGCTACTTCAACCCGGTTACAATGTGCAATGGCCCCGTCCTCTTGTTTTCCCAAGCAAATATATTAATTATTATCTAAAAAACACATTCCGCTTGGCCTCATGGAAAAGAACAACCATAACAGAAAAAACACAACTATTTAAACTCCATTACAATCAGGACCCATCTCCTTGTGGCAGCCGTTTTGACCCCCCAACACCCCCCAAACCCTGTGCCACCCGCAACCCCCCCGGGGCCCCCCACCACTGACTGGAGGGAGCTGCTGTTTCGGGTCACAAGTCAACTTTATCCAGTCCATAAATAACCACTACCAAGTCAATGTTCATTCTATGCTGTTTCAAATAGACATCTTTATACATCGTCTATGTTGCTCTCAATGTAAAATTATTTTCTATGCAATTAAATGTGTCCCTGAATAGGTGCAAATCTGAGGCCATTTCCTATGGTTTGACAGCACAACTATAACTCTGCAAAACCTGTTCAAACAGCCCGCAGCAATGTAAATTTAACTATCCTATCTTTATGCACTTTCCAAATTACACGGCCAATCTTTCAAATCTAAATTCAGATTTGCTATGTAGTGCACAGAAGTTCAACTCCTTAGTATCTTAAACAAAACATGTAGAATGTTACAAATTCCATTTGGGGGACATTGAATTAAGCTTAGATATAATTTTTTTACCAATGTAATGTATGCTTTCTTGCATATAATGTGTAACCCACTGGCTCAAATTAACTTATTCTTAGATGATCAATGGTGAATTATCTTTTCTGGCCACTTGTCACAGCTCAGCTTAAATATTTAATCTTTCCAATGATAATTACCTTAAGTTATCTTCATTGATGAAATGTGACTGCCTGCTGAAACCCAGCTCCTTTGCCAGACAAAGATTTTCACATCAATCGATGCTCACAGTTCACAGACATTGCTTGTGACATGCAATGACTCAGTCTGGGTCACAGAGACACAACCATGATGCAACATCAATAAAAGGTAACATGTAGATGATATTTGTACATAAAAATGCTGAGGGGAGAGGAAGCAGAAATAACGATTTGGAGAAAACAATGAAGAAGGGAACCAATTGTTTAACAGTTGTTATTAACACTGTCAGCAGTATGTGCAACCAAAAATTTCATCTTGTCTTAGGCTGTAAGACCTTAAAATTTAAGATTGTGTAGAATTTAAATTCAGTCATAATTTTAAAACTGACTAGAAACCACATTACAAACTAAGAGAAAATTTAAGAATTTGCCGTAAACTCTGCACAACCTTAGTCTTTTAAACCAAAATTGTCGTACATGGTTGGACCCCCCGGAATGTCAGACTGCTGTTCAGGTGCTTTGATTTTCAGACAAAGCTTGTAAGTACTGTAGCATGTCTAAAGCTGGGTGGTGCACAGATCATTCAGATCTGAATCATATGTAGCTAATGAGGAGCAGATTCAGCCACTGAAGTTCAAAGCAGTCCAGCAGCCATAAGCCAGCAAACTGTTAGTCAGGCAACTGACTGTTGAACATGCCAGACTCAGCTGGAAGCCAATTTTCACCACACAGATCAATACGGGGGAGCAAATTCCACTACAAAAAAGGAGCTGTAAAGCTGGTAGGGTTATACTATAGAGACCACCAAATAATGGGAAGGAAAGAGATAATAATAATAATCCTTGCATTTGATATAGCGCTTTTCACGTCTTCTAGACGACCCAAAGCGCTTCACAGAATATACTGTAAAGTAAATTGACTGTATATTTGTGGGCGAACCCGGCAGCCAATTGCGCACAGCAATGTCCCACAAACAGTCATTGAAAAAGACCGATTTATTATTGGGTTTTTTTTGAGGTATTATTATTAGGTGTGTGGAGTAAGGAAACTTGCCCAAGGTTTCGCCCTGCCTGGAATTGAACTCAGGCCTCTCACTTGCAAAGTGAGTTCTCTAACCACTGAGCAACAGGACTCCACATGAGCAGATTTGCAAGCAGATCTCAGACAGATGCAAAGCCAATAGAGGCGTGATAATGGGGGACTTTAATTATCCCAACATAGACTGGCAAAACAACAGCGCAAAGGGCAAGGAGGGGGAAATATTCCTAAAATGCATAAAGGACAACTTTCTTGATCAGTACATTTCCAGCTCAATGAGGAAGGAAGCAGTGATGGATCTAGTTCTGGGGAATGAAGTAGGGCAAGTGGAGCAGGTTTCAGTGGGAGAGCATCTGGGCAATAGTGATCACAACATCATTAGATTCAGAGTGCATATGGAAAGAGACAAGGAACCATCAAAGCTGAAGATACTCAACTGGAAGAGGATTTGTTTCAGTGAATTAAAAAGGGACTTGGCCAAGGTGAACTGGAAAGAAAGATTGGCAGGTAAAACAACTAAAGAGCAGTGGGAAGTCTTCAAGGATGAGACAGCTCGGGGACTGAATAAATACATTCCCACAAAAGGGAAAAGTAGGGCTTCCAAACCTCCCTGGATGACAAAGGTAATTGTATCTAGAATGAAGCAGAAAAAGGAGGCGTATGACAAATGTCAAACCCAAGACACAGAAGACAACCAAATAGAATATAGGGAGTGCAGAAGAGATTTGAAAAAGGAAATAAGAGGGGCAAAAAGATTATACGAGAAAAGGTTAGCGGGTAACATTAAAGGGAATTCTAAAATATTTTACAAACACATCAAGAAAAAAGGTCAGTCATAGGTAGGGTGGGGCCAATTAAGGACCAAGGGGGAAATCTTATTGTGGAGGCAGAGGGCATGGCTGATGTACTGAATGAGTACTTTGCATCTGTCTTCACAAAAGAAGTGGATGCGCCAAATGCTGCAGTATCGGAGGAGAGGGTAGAGGAAATGGATAGCAGAAGTATAAACAGAGAGGAAGTACTGGAAAGGTTGACCAGGCAACTGGAAGATAAGTCGCCCGGTCCGGACGGGATGCAAACAAGATTACTATGGGAGGCACGGGTACAAATAGCGGAGGCTTTGGCTACAATTTTTCAATCTTCGTTGGATACAGGGGTGGTGCCAGAGGACTGGAGTGGCCAATGTGACTCCCCTATACAAAAAGGGACAGAAGGACAAACCTGGGAACTACAGGCCAGTCAGCCTAACATCAGTAGTGGGGAAACTCATGGAGACTATAATCCGGGACAGAATAAATCTTCACTTAGAAGAATATGGGTTAATTAGGGACAGCCAACATGGATTTGTTAAAGGCAAATCTTGTCTAACAAATCTAATAGAATTTTTCGATGAGGTAACGGAGAGGGTGGATAAAGGAAGTGAAGTTGATGTAGTTTATATGGACTTTCAAAAGGCATTTGACAAAGTGCCACATGAAAGCCTTGTAAGAAAGATAGAAGCCCATGGGATAAAAGGGAGAATGGCAGCGTGGATCCAGAACTGGCTGGGAGACAGAAAGCAGAGGGTTCTGGTGAACGGCTGCTTTTCTGACTGGAATGATGTGCACAGTGGCATCCCCCAGGGATCAGTACTAGGACCACTGTTCTTCTTGATATAGATAAATCATCTGGACTTGGATATAGCAAGTACCATTTTCAAGTTTGCGGACGACACAAAGTTAGGTAGGGTGGTAAACAGTGAGACAGATAGCAGCCAACTGCAGGAAGATATAGACAGAATGGTAAAATGAGCAGACACATGGCAGATGAATCTCAATGTGGAGAAATGTGAGATAATGCATTTTGGTAGAAAGAATGAGGGGAGACAATATAGGCTATGTAATACAATCTTAAGGGGGGTGAACGAACAGAGACCTGGGGTTTCAGGTAAATTAATCCTTGAAGGTGGCCGGACAGGTAGATAAAGCTGTAAAAAGGGCATATGGGATACTAGGGTTTATAAATAGGGGCATAGAGTACAAGAGTCAGGAGGTTATGATTAACCTATATAAAACACTGGTTAGGCCTCAGTTAGAATACTGCGCCCAGTTCTGGGCACCACACTATAGGAAGGATGTTAAGGCACTGGAAAGGGCACAGAGGAAATTTACAAGAATGGTACCAGGAATGAGGGACCTTGATTATGAGGAAAGGCTAGAGAGGTGGGGATTATTCTCATTGCAGCAGATAAGGTTACGAGGAGACCTAATAGAGGTCTACAAAATCATGAGGGGATTTGATAGGTTAGAAAGGGAAAAACTGTTTCCAATGGTGGGTGTATCGGTGACTCGAGGTCACAGATTCAAAATAGTCTCTAAAAGAAGCAGAGGGGAAATGAGAAGAAATGTTTTCACGCAGCGAGTTGTTTGAATCTGGAACACGTTACCTGAAAGGGTGGTGCAGGCCGATTCAATAACAACTTTTAAAACTGCAGTGGACGGGATTTGAGGAGGACGGGTCAGCAGGGTTATAGGGAATGGGCTGGGGAGTGGGATTTGACATTACATTGTTCTTCTCAAAGAGCCGTCACAGACTCAATGAGCCGAATGGCCTCTTTTTATGCTGTGCGATTCTATGATTCTATGAATTTGTGTATGGTGGAGCTGGGGAGATCAGCGAGGAGGGCATTGGAATAGTCCAGCTAGGTAGTCACAAAGGAGTCGTCCCGCAGGACTGACCCGCAGGAGTGAAGACGGAAGCCAAAGAATGTGGCTTCTATCTTGCCAACATTCAGCTGCCGGAAATTTGCGCTCATCCAGGCCTTGATGTCCGTCAAACAAACTAACAGGATATCAACGAACTGAGAGTCACAACTGGAGGAGGAGAAAAAGTAGATTTAGGTGTCATTCATGTGGAAGTTGACCCCATGCCTGTGAATGACATCGCTGAGAGGCAGCAAGTAACTAAGGAAAAGAAGAGGACCTTGTGGTACCCCGCAGGTGACCGGGCGGGAGCAGGAGTAAAAACCATTTGCTGAGATGTATTGTTGGTGGTTGGTTAAGTAGGACTTGAACCATGTGAGTGTGGTCCCATTAAGGTGAATGAGGAAGTAGAGGTGCTGGAGGAGGATGGCGAGATCGACAGTGTCGAACACAGCGGTGAGGCCTAGGACAATGATGAGGTAGAAGGAGCCTTGGTCACAGAGAGAGAGGAGTTTGTTGTTACTTTGCAAGTTAAATTTACTCTCATTGCTGTGGGCAGGGCAAAAGGCGAGTAGGGAGTGGAGCGAGAGGTGTGAGGAAGGTTGATTTCCAATGACACATTTCAAAACCTTGGCCAGGAAAGGCAGGTTTGAGTTGGGTCTGAAATTTGTGAAATTGGAGGGAAGGAGAGTGTGTTTTTTTAAGAAGAGGACTGATGAAAGTGGTTTTGAGGGGAGGTGGGACGGAGCCTGAAGAGAGGGACCAGTTGATTGTGTCAACAAGCAACAACAAATTCCATTTGAATAGCGTTTTTCACGTCAGCAGGGAGAAGAGGAATGGGAGTTGATTTTCCAGAAGCTGGATGGAGTGTATGATAGGGGCTATGGTAAGAATCGTGGTAGAAGGACAGGGTGATAAAGTAGGCATGGCAGGGGGTGGGGCTGGTAGGCGACATGTGGGGATTGGGGAGGAGGCAGCCACCCACGTGGATGGTATGTATCTCAAGGATAAAGAAGTCCAGGACCTCTTCACACTTGGCATCGGAAGTGAGGATTGCGATGCTTGAGAGGGGGCGTTGAGGAGGTGGTGGGTACTGGAGAATAGGATTTTGGGGGTGTTTGGGGCCTCAAGCATGACCTGTAAATAGAAAGCGGTTTGGGATTGAGGGAGGGACCAGCAGTAAGTGTGACGATGCTTGAGCCACGACTGGCCAGTTTTGTGCCATCTGCGCTCAAGCAACCGGGTTTGGGATTTCAGGAAGCAGAGATGTCTGTTGTGCCAGGGGAGCGGGTTGGAAAGAAGGGAATTGAAAGTTGAGGAGAGGTGATCGTTCAGCAGCTTGACGGCTGCGTTTGGATCACTTTGGATGAA